CTCGCCAGCGGCCAGTGATCACCGAGCATTACCAACAGGTGAAGAGAACTGTATGTAAACAATACAGTTCTCTCCCGTCAGCCCCTGCACACTGCTTTGTATGGCTCTGAATAGCAGAGCCATACAAAGCAGTGTGCTTATAGTTGAAAGCCACACACACAGCTTACAGTAAAACAGCACACAGTTAACCCTTTGATCGCCCCACGTTAACCCCTTCCTGCCCAGTGCCATTGGTACAGTGTCAGTGCTTTTTATTAGCAATGATCACTGTATTAGTGTCACTGGGGATGTCAGTGACACAAAGTCAGTTCCCCCCAGTGTCAGAATGCCTGCTGCAGTCCCGCTATAAGTCGCTGATCATCGCCATTACTAGCAAAAAAAAAAAATCCCAGTATATAGATCGCCATTTGTAGATGCTATAACTTTCATGTAAACCAATCAATTTACACGTTATGGGATTTTTTTTTAGCAAAGACATGTAGCAATAAATTTTGGCCTAAATTTATTATGAAATTTTATTTTTTTTTTTTTTTTTACTAGATATGTTTTATAGCAAAAAGTCAAAAATGTTTTTCTCAAAATTGTCTTTTATAGCGCAAAAAAAAAAAAAAAAAACGCACAGGCTATCAAATACCAACAAAAGAAAGCTCTATTTGAGGGGGAAAAAAAAAACAGGGACATAAATTTAATTTGGGTGCAGCGTTGCAACTGTCAGTTAAAATAACACAGCGCCGTAACGCAAAAAAAGGCCTGGTCAGGATGGGGTCTAAATCCTCTGGAGGGCAAGTGGTTAAAGTGTAACTAAAGGCAAACCTTTTTTGTTTAGTTTTGGACAGAGTGGAGAGGGATCAGAACATCTGTCAGGGTTTTATTGCTGTCTATAAGACCTCATACACACAGGGTATTTGACTCTCTCCTATAAATGCCTTTTACTCCTGGTAGGAAAAAACACTTTAACCGCCTCCCGCCTACATATAAGGAAATAGCGGGTGGGCGGCAGTTCTCTAGTTGTGGGAGGACGTCACATGACGTCCCCCCACTCTAACTGCGCATGCACGCCCCCAGGGGCGCACAGCGATCGGTGGTGCGCTGTGTCCCTGGGACGCAGCGGATCCCCGATCTCAGTAAAAAGCCAACGACGTTGGCTCTGTCATGTGATCAGCTGTGTCCAATCATAACTGATTACATGGAAATAGAATTGCCATTTATCGGCAGTCCTCTCCTCACGCTGACAGCTCGCAAGGAGAGCCAGTAATTGGCATTCCTCAGAGGGGACATCTACACTGATCATCAGGGCACTGATGATCAGTGTAGCCCCATCAATGCCACATACCAGTGCCTGTCAGTGCACATCAATGTCACATATAGAGGTGTGGAAATTTAAAAAAAAAACTACTTGTCCAAGGACTAAACCTGGGCCCCAATCTACTTGCCCTTCATGACAATCTACTTGTACTGAAAAAAAAAATGTTTTAACCAAAATCATATTTAAATTGGAGGCGATTTTAGGAATGTCGGGAGCTTTTAAAAAACAAAAGAGGCTTTATGGCGACTTAAACATGTAAAATGTTTACCACTGCGCTGTTTATCTCCTCCTCCCCTCCCTGCCTGTCTCCAGCACCGCACCCAGGGACTAGCAGGGAGGGGAGAGACCTTGCAGTTTATATATAGCGCCAAAGGGTTTGCTCAGCGCTATACAATAGAGGGGGGGACAATACATGAAACAGTACAGCAACAACAAACAGCACACAAGGGGTTAGAGGGCCCTACTCTTTCGAGCTTACAATCTGCTCAGGGGTGAGGCATATGGCCCTGTTTCATCAAGAAAGGGTGAGGCAGGGCTTATACTTTCGCTGCCAGAGTCGTTTTTGCGTTTTTTGCAAACATTTAAAAAAAATCATTTTAGGCCTGAAGGTTACACAACACCCCCAAACATGATATATTTTCTGAAAGCAGAGACCCTAGAGAATAAAATAGTGGTAGTTCCAATTTTTTATGTTGCAGAATTTTACCACAAAATTTTAGTAAGAAATACAAGTAAGTTAATTTTAGGGCACAAAAAAGCAACAAATTACCCTATTTTTTGGTATAATATAAAAGATAAGGTTGTGCAGTGAGTAAACAGATATCCAACTTTGCAAAAAAAAACAAAAACAAAAAAACACTTTTTTCTTTCGTCACATAGGGGACAAAGTCCCCTATGTGATTTTTGGTGACAGGTTCTCTGAGACGTCCAAGGTCTAAAAGACCCTGCATGTCTCCCCTCTGCTCCACTGAATGTAATGTGGTGCACATCTGCACCATATTACATTAATTCCCGGGGATTGTATTACAATCTCCCAATGGGAATTCAGAAGTGACATATAACGTCACTTCCAGGTCAGCACAAGAAGGGGAGGGAAGCAGACTTATCCGTTCTCCCTCCTCTCTAGCCGGCGGGTGAGCGGGGCCCACAGATGGGCAAGCACAGCCTGGGAAACTTCACGCCCGGGGCGCGGAGAGGCCGGCGATGTGTGAAAGCAATCGGCAGCAGCGCTGCCGCCGATTGCTTCACCTGACAGGTGACTGCGCTGCTTGCCCGCAGCAGGGCTAAAGGGAGAGAAAAAAAATACCTGCCCGTGCCCGCAACTACATGTCCCGGGCGTCAGGAATCCAACATCCCTGCACATACTAGTGTCAAGTGCCCATCAGTGCCACATACCAGTTCCCATCTGAGCTGCCTTTCAGTACCAACTATCGGTGCCAGTCAGTGCAGCCTAACAGTGCCATATAGAAGTGCTGCCTTTCAATTCCCATCAGTGCCACCTATCAGTACAGCCTCATTTCCGCACATCAGTGAAGAAGAAAAATGACTTATCTACAAAATTTTATAACAAAAAAAAAAAACTTTTTTTTTAAAATTTTCAGTTATTTTTAGTTTGTTTTGCAAAAAATAAAAAAAAAATAGCGGTGGTTAAATACCACCAAAAGAAATCTCTGTCTCAAAAGAAATGATAAAATGTTTGTTTGGGTACAGTGTTGCATGACCGCGCAATTGTCATTCAAAATGAGACAGCACTTAAATCTGAAAATTGGCCTGGGTAGGAAGGGAGTAAAAGTGCCAGGTAGGCAAGTACCGTATTTTTCGCTCCATAAGACGCACTTTTTTCCCCCTCAAAAAAGGGGGGAAATGTCAGTGCGTCTTATAGAGCGAATGTAAAGCAGCCGGTCCGGTATTTCTGCCGCCACCATGTCAGAATATCGGGCCGGCCGCTCAGCTCTTCTCTCTTGCAGGACCTTACCTGTTCCTCGCTCCAGCGCTGTACTGTCTTCCCGTGGCAGCTTCTATGACAGCCGGGTGCCCACTGCGCATGCGCGAGAAGCACCGCGCTTTCTGAATGGTCCGGTGTCTTCTGGGACACATGACAGGTCCCAGAAGGCTCCGGGCCATTCACAAAGTGCAGCGCTTCTCGCGCATGCGCAGTGGGCACCCGGCTGTCACAGAAGCCGCCGCGAGAAGAAGGAAGGACAACTCCGCGGAAGTGGGTACCTGTCAAATTCAGGTACCCGCTCCCCCTCCATCCCAAAGGTCCGCAGTCTCTGGTCACCCCCTGTACCGTGTCCGCAGTCTCTGGTCACCCCCTGTACCGTGTCCGCAGTCTCTGGTCACCCCCTGTACCGTGTCCGCAGTCTCTGGTCACCCCCTGTACCGTGTCCGCAGTCTCTGGTCACCCCCTGTACCGTGTCCGCAGTCTCTGGTCACCCCCTGTACCGTGTCCGCAGTCCATTGGTTCAGAATATTTTTTTTTTTTTCTTGTTTTTCTCCTCTAAAACCTAGGCGCGTCTTGTGGTCAGGTGCGTCTTATGGAGCGAAAAATACGGTAGTTAAAAAAGAAAGCCACACTTAAAGCCAAGTATTGCACGCGCTTTTAGGCGCATTTGAACGTTAATAGATTCTGTTAGCCATTGGAATGGGTGAATGATCAAGCACTAATAAGCACTTTAAAAGTGTTTACGTGCGTTAACCATTTTTCACACTCTTTCGCTCCTCTTCTAAATGCCCTGATTTTTTTTTGCAGTTCGTAAACACTCCTCTTCTAATACTCCTGTGCTTCTACATGCATGGATACACATGCTTACACAGATGTGCTTTTACAGGTCAAAATAAAAAAAAAGTCTGCATCTGCACCCTCTTCCCCGCGCCCCCCCAATTTCCCCCCCCCCCCCCCCCCCCAATTTCCCCTCCCCCAATTTCCCCTCCCTGTGACAGGGGAAAGGGATCATCTTCTTGCTCCCGCTGTCACAATTTGACAAAATTGCAGCCATGTCAGGCTCTGCCCACATCATTCATGCAGTTTCCTGTGGGTGGACAAACTACAAGTACCATCAGCCATTGCGGCTGATGGCTTGTAGTTCTCAATGAATGAGGGCGCTGGTGAGTGCTCTCATAGTCCCTTTGGTCTTCCTTCTCTCAAGTAACTGCCTGCCTGTAAGAGGTATGGGCAGACCACTATGCTGAAAGTCTGCAGGAGCCTGACACTGAACCACCAATCTACTGATCATGTGTGCAATGCTCTGCATACTCCATAGAAGAAAAATAAAATGCACTTTTTTTTTACCTGCATGCATTTTTTTCCTCAAAAGGTGAACTTAGTTTTAAAGCCCTGTATGCATGAGGCCTTATGGTTATCACTGAAAGTGCAAGAAAAAAGAAAATCCCAAATTCTGAATTGACACCAGACAAAGAATTGAACAGGAAGCTTCCAATGAAGACACTAGTTCTGGTGACATCCCAGGATTGTTGAAGGGATTTCCTCACTTCCTGCTTTGGCTATGGGATAGGAAGTGATGGGAAATCTCCTCTATGGGACACAGAAGCTGGCAGGGGTTACTCTACCCTAAATAGAAAAAAAAAAAAGTTTTGCCTTTAGTTACACTTGGAACTATTTCAACATGTCCAGTTCTACAACACCAGAGGACTTCACTCCCAAGACAAAATGTCAGAAGAGCTGTGTTCTCACCTGTACTGGATTCTCAACTCGAGTCCGTCTCTGCTCACTTTGCAGCAAATCCCTGTAACTGAACTCTGCACAACTCTCATCGGTCGGGTCGGACAGGGCCAGCTCCAGCCTAACCGTCTCTTCTGCACTAGGCTTGTCTTCCTCTGCTCTGCTCATAAAGCCAGCCTCCCCTACCATGGAGGACGACGCGGCTACTTCACGCTGCGGCCGCTGACTAGGAGTCTGTTGCAGAGGCCTCGGCTGCTGCTGCTGCGTGCTTGTCAATTGAGGCCTAGCTGGCTGCGACCGCTGAGTTGCAGTTAGGAGCGAAGGATTCCGCTGCTGCTGCTCCACTACCATTGTCCCTGCACTATCACGCGGCTTCATAGGGGAAAGGCTGACAAATGGCACCCGGCGCGGCTCCGCCATTCCTACAGCACACCAGGGCTTTGTACAGCTGCCCAATGAATTGACTCTGCAAGTGTATCACCAGTCCTTTTATTCCCGCCCACTAGCTCCACAACGGGGCTGTTTACTGCTCTTGACGGCAACACTATTTCGTCCTGGACATTGTAAAGAACTCCTGTACCTCACCCAACCAGAGCAATGCCGCCATTTTAAACCTCACATAAATAATAACAAGGCCACTTCCCAACTCGCATGCGCGGAAATGTCGCCTAGTATGGGCGTGAGAAAACGTCATTACGCCGTTCTTTCACCTCTCTTTGCATTCGTTCAAAAGCGTTGATGGAACGCACGCTGCGGTGTGACGCCGATGTAGCGTGCGTTGTCCCAGTAACGAGGACGCCGTCTCTGCAGGCAATACCATAAAATGAGTAATAGACGAGAATGTGCCAAAGTTTCTAGTTGTGGTCAAGGTATAATGACCTGTGTGACAGCACCAGTGCATTTGCTCCCCTATATGCTGATTTCAAAGTAATAACGAGGCTCTGTTAGAGGTGTAGTTCTTGTTGGGTCAGGGCTTGTTCATGCAATGACCGTCAATTGGAAATTAGAGAGAGCCTCAAGTGTGGTCTGCAGACACTTCCAGAGGGCTGCAAAATAGCGCATTATCGGACCTTGGCACCCAGAAATGTCGGTTCTGCTGCATGTTTTTGCAATGCACACTGAAGAGGTTGAAATACAATAACTCACAACATTGGTCTCAGTGAATGTAATAACCGCCAACACTAATGTCAGCGGATGTAATAATAACCCGCCAACATTGGTGTCAGTGGATGTTATAATAACCCCAAACAGTGGTGTCAGCAAATGTGATAATATTCCCTAACATTAGTGTCAGTGAACATGATAATAACCCCCAACACTGATGTCAGTGGAATTAATAATAACCCCCCAACATTGGTGTCAGTGAATGTAACCATAACCCCCAACATTGGTGTCAGTGAATGTAACCATAACCCCCAACATTGGTGTCAGTGAATGTAATCACACACCCCAGCATTGGTGTCAGTGAATGTAATAATAACCGCCAACATTGGTGTCAGTGGATGTAATAATAACCCCCAACATTGATTTTCAGTGAACATGATAACTCCTAACATTGTTGTCAGTGAATGTAATAATAACCCCTAACACTGGTGTTAGCGAATGTAATAATAACCCCAACATTGGTATCAGTGGATATAATAATAACCCTTTAACATTGGTGTCAGTGAATGTAATAATAACCCCCAACATTGTTGTCAGTGGATGTAATAATAACCCTCAACATTAGTGTCAGTGAATGTAATAATAACCCCCAAATTGATGTCAGTGAATGTAATAATAACCCCTAACATTGGTGTTAGCGAATGTAATAATAACCCCCAACATTGTTGTCAGTGGATGTAATAATAACCCTCAACAATAGTGTCAGTGAATGTAATAATAACCCCCAAATTGATGTCAGTGAATGTAATAATAACCCCTAACAGTGTCAATGGATGTAATAATAACCCCCAACATTGATGTGAGAGAACATAATAACTCCTAACATTGGTGTCAATGAATGTAATAATAACCCCCAACATTGGTGTCAGTGGAGGTAATAATTCCCCAACATTGGTATCAGTGGATGTAATAATAACCCCCAACATTGATGTCAGTAAATGGAATAATAACCCCAAACACTGGTAACAGTGGATGCAGTAATAACCCCCAACACTGGCATCAATGGATGTAAGAATAACTCCCAACATTGGTGTCAGTGGATGAAATAACCCCCAAGATTATTGTCAGTAGATATAATAATCCTAAACATTGGTGTCAGTGGATGTAATAATAACTCCCAACATTGGTGTGACGTACCTTAGTGAGCTGATGTGAAGAGGCAGGCCTCTTGTACAGCTCCGGCTCGAGGGCTACTGGTGGTGGGACAGTAGCCACAGGAGCACGGTGAGGTATTAGTGCCTGTTATCAGTCCAGTAGTATGTGCGTGAGTGGAAGTCCACAGGCAGGTGAGGAAGCAGGACAGGTTGAAGGTGGACAGCTAGGCATGGATCTTGCTCGACGGCAGGTTATAGTTTACCTGCAGGGAGCAGAATCCAGATGTGGACTTGCTGGACTGATCGACTGTAGCCAACAAGAAGGAAGATACGAGGTTAGACGAGCCGGATCGGTAACAGTTGGGCAAATCAAGAATAGATGGCAGAGAAGTCAGGTCACAGGCCAAGTCAGCAGCGGAGTTACGATTGGATAAGATCAGGAGGCAGAAGAGTAGTCCAAGACATGCCGGGGTCGGGGTAGGTAGCAGACAAGCGAAGATCAGGAACAAGCCGGGTAGTATCAGAGGTCAGGCACAAGGATCAGGAACACACACAGAAGCAGACCAAACAGCAATGAGACAAGACTGCAGCCAGTTTAAATAGCCCTTTTGGCGCCAGCATTAGTGACAGGTGCGTGCCTGGATACGCACGTGCAATTGTGCGCACCTTTGCCCAAATACATGCACATCTATATGACCTGTTATTGTTCTGCACATGCGCATACTTATGCGCCGCGAGCCCTCACTTGCACTGTGGACAAGCCTTTCCTGACAATTGGGCCCTGATTTACTAAGAATTGAGTCTACCAGCAGATGCTGAACATTCAGGCAGACTCAATTCAAACAATCTAGACCTGTCAGTCTTCTGAAAGGTGTCTAGCAAACTCATTGAAAAGCATCTACTTTGTAGACTCTTTCCTGTTAGTAAAAGTGGAATCGCTTCTGGCACATTTTTAGGTGCAAATATGTTCGTTAGGTGGGGCACAACCGCAGGCTTTGTTGGCGTTTTTGTGTTTGCATATGAGAATACTTATAATTTAAAGTAAAAGTACACCTATATATTTTTTTTTTTTGGTTGCTGTTTCTCCAAAATGATCAGACACCTAATGCATTTCCTAATGAATGTCATACATTCTAATTTCAAATGTCAAACATTTTCACACTTATATCTCAAATAATTGGGAATGTCTAGTTATAATTTCCAATATAATTATATATCTTCATTCTCTTTAATCATGTAACTTTTCTATGTTAAAGTAATGGTGCAGCGCTATAAATGCATGTTATCAATCATAAACGCATGTAAAATCAAAAACGTGCAAATAAGTACCACACGTGCCATTCATAGGCACTCTGTGAGTTGGTACTCTCACATGAAGGACATTCCATTATTCAGGAATGATTATATAAACTTTTTTGAGCACCATTTACCAGTTTACATCATTATTGCACTTATTTGCACTTTTTTTATTTTACATGCGTTTATGATTGATAACATGCATTTATAGCGCTACACTATTACTTTAACATATTTCTATTCTGGGACTGTTGCCAATACCCTGAGTGCTAGCTGCTACCTTCATATCTATACCTAGATTTATATTTATCTTGTGTAATACCATTTTAGTAGTCTATATAATTTTACCAGCGCTCGCTTTATCATTATTTTTAAACAATGTAACTATTCTACATTGCAGCTCAAACTCCATCTCCCTCAGTGGCTTAGTGGTTAGAACTCAGAACTTGCAGCACGTGGGTCATGGGTTCTAATCCCAGTCATGGCTGCACCTGTCTGCATCTCAGTTTGCATGCTTTCTCTGCATGGGTGTGTTTCTGCCAACACTCCAAAAACATGCTGTTAGGTTAATTGGGCCTATTATATGTCTGAGTTTCTGGTCTTATGCAGGCCATAGATGGGTCAAAAACCAGCTGTTTTTTTAAAACAAAAAATCGATCGTTCAATAGGCCGTTACCAGCAACGGTAAACAAATCAGCCGATTTTCGTCCCGTCTACGGCCGGCATTTTTACTTCTGTCCCTACAGAGAGCTCCGCTATTATATTTTACATGAAAAGTCTTGCGGTTGCAACAATGTATATATTTGTATCCATTTCGGATACAGATATTTTTATTCGGATACAAATAGATACATTGTTGCAGCCACAAGACTTTTCATGTAAAATATAATAGCAGACTGGAATTCTTCTTCTTTTTCTTCTTCTTGCCAGTCACGGCTCATGCACATATTTTTTATCGGTAAAACGATCGGCCGATTTGCCCATCATTGCTGGGAAAATCGGCCGATCGTCAAAACCGGCCGCGTCCTGTTCTTCTGACAAGTTTGAAACTTTCAATTTTCCTTCTGTTTATATTTCATTACAACTTTATCTTCTCCAAGGCTATGTTCACACTAGCTTTGTCAGCAGGCATCAGACAAGCATTTGGGAAGCGTTTTTTACGCTTCTCCTATGTAACACCTATGAAAATTCTGCACATGGCAGCACACAGTGCTGTTCACACTGAAGCGTTAGCATTGCGTCACGACAAAACTGGCGCCTCATGTCGAGTCAGGAGGAATTGAAGCCTCCCATTCAAGTCTATGGTGCCACTCCTCAAATGCCTGGCAGACGTTTGTGGTGTGGTTGCGAGGCATTTTCGGAGCGTTTAATACCATTTAACTTCATTACATTTGTGGTACAGTTTTAACGCTTGGTAAATGCTTATCACATGCCTCAAAACCGCACATAGGGCGTTTCAGGAGCATTTGAGGAGCATTAAAAACGCTTACCAAACACCTGTCAAACGCTATAGGGGCGTTTGGCAAGAGTTAGAAATAAAGTCACATCACCCTGGCTCACTGCATAAGGCTGGTGAGCCTCCGTCGGGAGCGGAACGTTTTTTTTTTTTCTTTTTTCGGCTCACTGGCGCCTGACACCGCGATTGACGTTGGATCTACTTTGGGGGACATTGTTTTATTAAAGGACTTGTCGAAGACCGTGTCCTGTGGTTTTTTACACTACACTTTGTTTTTTTGTGAATTAGTAGCGGGACCATGTACCGCATACTCATTTATGTAGAGGGGGCTGGGATCTGGGGGCCCCCTTGTTAAAGGGGGCTTCCAGATTCTGATAAGCCCCCGCCCGCAGACCCCCACAGCCACCGGC